TTTTTTTGGACACAAATAGTTGTAAACATTTGTCGTAACGAAAGGCGCGACAAAAATGTTCACAACTTTTCTGTCCATTGAATGAGCGCTTCGTTTGAATTGATTTCTTCGCACAAAATATTGTCTCAATTTTTATCCATTGATTGTCTAATGAATTGATTTATATTTTATTGATTACAAAATATTAAATATAAGATTATAATTGGGTTTATATTTAATTTAATCGACAATTTATAACACAAACTATTAATTAAAAACAGCAAAACTTTATAATAAAAATACATTTATTTATAAATAGTGTTATAATTTATGAATGAATTGAAAATCCAATGAAAACAATGTTTTTTAAAAACTATACCAAAAAACTGATAAATAAATTGCATTTTGTGTTAATTATTACAACTTTTAATTAAATTAAGGATTAATTGGATTGAAATTATGGCCAATAATATGAGGACAGTATATATCGGACGCAAAAACTATTTCATAGGAAAGACTGTTTGGGAGATATTATCGCAACTGAAGAACTTCGGCGTCGGAAGAATGATAACCAGGAATGTGTTGTCCAGATATCCGGAGCCCTCCTATCATATCGTACGCCGAGTGGAGCCCCGGATGGACGACGAGCTCAAGTTCGGAACCGTTTACTGCGAGACAGTCTTCAGAGGCAAACGCTATCCCGGGATCAGGTGTTTCACCGATGGATATAAACCCGATTTCAAACTCGTGGCCAAAGAAGACGAGGAAGAGTTCCTCAATGGGTATAAAGTGACAAATTTGGGTGACGTTAAGACCGCTCTTCCGCACAACTATTCGGTGCCACCGCTTATGAGAGAGTTTCTCATCAGATATAAGACAGAAAAGGGAGAAACAGTTGATCCCAACAAACACTTTGAAATACCTTTCGTTTATTTGGATACTAAGGACTTGAATACAGAAAAGGAAGAGATTTTTTGGTTAAACCATAAGATCGCTGCCGAAGGAGAAGAACCAGATAAACAGTTGATCCCAACAAACACTTTGAAATACCTTTCGTTTATTTGGATACTAAGGACTTGAATACAGAAAAGGAAGAGATTTTTTGGTTAAACCATAAGATCGCTGCCGAAGGAGAAGAACCAGACGTTAGGTTTGGCGGCAAATATAGCTTTTATGATAGATATACCGCTTCTCTTAAAACCGATAGCAATCAGAATCAGTAGTCATTTATTAATACAAATGTTTTATAATAATTATAACATAATTGTAATCATAATAAACATGTAATTCATTAGTCAATTAGATTTGGTTTATTACTTAATTGATATAAATCTAAACAAAAAAATGTGATTTCAAATCAAAATTTAAAATAATTTACAAAAATCGCTACAAATTACTGTTTTTTGATCAATGAATGCATTTATTTTACAAAAATCTGATCACGAAATTCAATGTTTGCTTTCCTTCTCCTCTTCTTCTTTGTCTCTTTTGGATCGTTTGCTGTGTTTGTGTCGCGACGAAGACCTACTGCTGTGATCGTCTTCGTACTCGTGTTCGTCGCCGCGATGTCTTCTCCGAGAAGAGGACGAGTCTCTGTCCCGTTCTCTATGAGACTCACTCTTCTCTCTCTCTCGCTCCTTATCTCTGTCGCGATGTCTTCGGCTCTCATAGTCTTTATCGACGTCTCGATCGCGAGAGCGTTCGTGATGTTCGTAATCCCTGTCTGAAGGCTGTCTCTCCTGCCTCTCGTGGTGATGATCCCTGTAGTGACCGCCGCCGCGACCGCGAGAGAACGAATCCTCTTCTCTAAAATCTCGATTATATCCGCGACCCGACCGGTGATAGTCTCGCTCGCGATCTCTGTCTCTGTCGCGATCCCGGTCTCCGCTGTCATCGCCTCCCATACCCTCGTGATAGCCATCGGTTTGGTCGTCAAAGTTCGGGTGCGGAAGCATTCCCGGGTGTGGGAACCGCATCGGGAACTCTCCCGGAGGGAAAGGCATGGGTTGACCGTTAGGAGTGATTAACGGCATTCCTGGCGGAGGTATTCCCGGAGGAAAGTCAACGCCTGGCGGCGGGAATCCGAATGGAGGAGGCATTGACATGGGAGGGAAGGGCGGCATTCCGGGTGGCATTCCTGGTGGCGGCGGACCGGGAGGGCCGGGCGGACGGTTGCCTATATTGCCGATAACTTGAATAAAACTCGTGTTCTCTTTTGCTTCGGGCGGTCGACGGCTGGGCAGCATATTTGGTGTGGTAGACCCTCCGCCGCCGATCACTTCAATAGTTCCCGATTGTTTGCGTCCGGGCGGAGGGCCGGCCTTCTTAGTCAGACCGGCGCCCGTGTACTTCGAGTTCTCATTTATCGATGCGATTGGTATCGTTTGTTCGCCGGGTTTTCCGGGGACAGCACCGGCGGCACCCCCTGGAGCGCCCACCGCAGCGCCGGGCGGGTGTGCCAACGGTGGTCGGGTCGGCACCGGCACGGCGTTCAGGAAGTCATGATTTCTAAGTTTCTTCTGCCGCTCGCAATACAATTTCCACATCTCTTCGTTGAAACCGTAATTAAAGTAGTCGGTGATATCGGCGCCGGGTTTGCGCCACGGCTTCTCCTCGAGATTATCCAAATTCACGTCATAAATGTTGACACCATTTATGGTTCCGAGAGCTTCGATGTCGAGACCGGCTTTCGGTTTGTTGGNATACAATTTCCACATCTCTTCGTTGAAACCGTAATTAAAGTAGTCGGTGATATCGGCGCCGGGTTTGCGCCACGGCTTCTCCTCGAGATTATCCAAATTCACGTCATAAATGTTGACACCATTTATGGTTCCGAGAGCTTCGATGTCGAGACCGGCTTTCGGTTTGTTGGCGGCGCCCGTCTGTCCGGCGGCGAAGTTAGCGCTCCTTTTGGTGATATTCAGATTCATTGGCGCCGATCCGTACGGGAAGGACGACGTGTTGGCCTTAATGTCACCGATGGTCACCTGAACGTCGTCGTCGTCATCGTCTTCGTCGTCGTCCTCATCGGACGAGTCCTTGTTATCATTGGTCTCTGCGTTCGCCTCCTTGTCGTTGGACTCGAACTCGTAGTCCTTCTCTTCCTTTATATTATCCATCGATTGGTCAGCATTTGGTCCTTCGCTCGCATTCGACACTTCAAACAGTTGTCGGAAATCATCCGAAGACTAATCATAAGCGAAGCGACGATAAGATCATCAAATGAACCATTCGTTGTGTAATCGGTGTCACAATTACCTGATTATCAAAGATCTGCGACAAGTCTTCGCTCTGTCGTCGGTCCGAATGGTTGGTGTCTTTGTTGTCGTTATCGTCGGTCTCATTGTTATGACGGTTCGTCTCTTCGTTGTTGTCCTCATTAGTTCCGTATAACCACTTGTCGTCTTCAGCCGAGTCTCCCATTGTTTCTGTCGGCAGACACTTTGGTTGACACATAAATGACGACAAAAATTGTTTATTCAATAAAAAGCAAACATAAAGAGAGAGACATTTGGAGAGAAGAAAGTGTGAGACAATTGATTTGGTGTTGAATTTCATTCATTGGATTCACTATTGATTTGTTTATTAACTGTAATTAACTATAGTTAATGACATATTTGTTCACTAATCATATAGCAAACCGTAACTTAAGTAGCTATGAGAGCAGTCACTTACGTCATAACCAAAGTATCGTCTGTAACTGACGGCAAAAGTGGTGAGTAATAAATCAAATCAATTGATGATTGAATTTCTTCTCCATAAGTGCCGACAAAATGACTGAAGAATTTGTGGTAATTATTGTCTTTTCAAGTGATTTTAATACTTATCTTATTATTTATTAAATCATAAAATTGTCTTAATTTTTATAAGTTATAACATATGTTAGAAGAGTTTGAATAAAAGTTTTTTTAATTAAAAAAACTAAAATAAATTTTAGAATAAAAGTTTTTTACAATCAGTGTTGATTCATTGATATAATGTTATCAAGGTTATTTTGGAAATTTGTAAAGTATTTTATTTTAAGTATTTTTAATTTAGTAAATTTAATGCAATTTATTGTGCAATTTTTTAAATTTTAATAAACTTTTCAATTGTTTCCTTACTGTTCATTACAATTAAAAAGTTTTTTCAAACTTTTTTCACCCAGAAATGGATTGAAAGCAAAAATCTTGAAATTTGCGATAAAGTCAATGAAATCTCAAATAAAGACACAAACGATTCAATTGTATTAAGCGGTGATCCGTTTAAGACACCAGACATACGAGTATATCTGAGACAATATTTTGTGCGAAGAAATCAATTCAAACGAAGCGCTCATTCAATGGACAGAAAAGTTGTGAACATTTTTGTCGCGCCTTTCGTTACGACAAATGTTTACAACTATTTGTGTCCAAAAAAAACTTAACATTCATTTGATTGTCGTTTGATTTGATCTCAATTTGTGGACACCATTGACGACACGACTGAATACATCCTGTGATTAATTGTTGGGATCAAAAGCATGTCATTATTCGCTGGCATCCGATGGACAGCTCTCCGGGCTTTTCAACCAAACAGTGGTCACGTGTGGAGACAATCCGGTCCTCAGTTGTCCGCCAATGGACTCAATGGGTGGGCGAAGACGTTTGGGACGGTGTCTGGAGATGAGGCCAACAGATTGTCTGATCGTCCGAAACGCCCGCAAACGAGTTATAACATGTTTTTTAAGGACAGAGCGGCCGCTATTCGGCAACAAAACCCATCATTGAATGTCAAAGAAGTGACACTTAATGTGGCCCAAGAGTGGAGACAATTAGATCCCAACACTAAACAAGAGCTGATGGAGAAGTCGAAGAAGAATTTTGAACAATACAGCGATGCGTTCAAGAAGTGGATAATGTCAAAGAAGTGACACTTAATGTGGCCCAAGAGTGGAGACAATTAGATCCCAACACTAAACAAGAGCTGATGGAGAAGTCGAAGAAGAATTTTGAACAATACAGCGATGCGTTCAAGAAGTGGAAGGACTCGTTGACTGACACACAAAAGGAGATCCATTTCTCCGGACTTCATGTAAGGACTCGACTGTACTTTAATTGAAGTGAATTTAATTTGTATTTGATTTGTGTTCACAATAATAGACTCGGAAGCAGTTGTTGGCCAGACGTCGGCTCCGAATAGAGCTCAAGCGAAATGATTATCCAATTCGTGCCAAAACTGCTTTCAATCTCTATATCCAAGAAGCGATCACTAATAGACCGCATTCTTCTGAACCATTTATTGATGTCTTTAAGAAAGTAGTCTCCAAATGGAAGACAATGAGTCCATTAGAGAGGGAGCCGTACGTCGAAAGCGCCCAAAACGACAAAATGAGATATTTGTCAGAAATGGAGGTCTGGAAGGAAGGGATCGCGAGGGCGGAGAAGAAAGACATTTTCGACCGACTCGTCAAACTCAAGGCTATGGCATCCAAAGTGGGCTTCAAATACACAATACAAACGGATAAACCGACTAAAAAGCGAAAGTCTTTGTCGATGACAACTAAGTCCAAAACCAGAGCTAAGCCCAAGTCATTGAAAGCCAAGTCTAAACCGAAAACCGCTGCCAAGAAATCCAAGTCTAAAACAAAGCCTAAATCGACGGCAAAGTCGGCGAAACCAAAGAAGACGAAGAAAGCAGAAGATTCTGATTCTTCCGATTAGAACTGAGACTAAAAAGGAATTAATCTATATATCAAATTGAATTTGAACATTTTAAACTTATTGAATTGTTCATTATGCAATTCTAAATCAATCTAGACAATAAAATTCTGCCAATGGGCATTTAATGTAATTTAAATTAATTAAATAAGATTACAGAATTGCATTAAAAGTTTTAAGTTTAGCGCTTATATAGAGCACACTGTCCATTCATTTGGTGAGTATTGACCTTACTTATTTACAAAATACAATCTTTTACATATTTTTACATTAAATTTTAATTTATATTAATAGACATAATATATTGAACACAATAAGTATATTATGATTGTATTTTGTAAATGAGTAAGATCAATACTCACCAAATGAATGGACAGTGTGCTCTATATAAGCGCTAAACTTAAAACTTTTAATGCAATTCTGTAATCTTATTTAATTAATTAAAATTACATTAAATGCCCATTGGCAGAATTTTATCGTCTAGATTGATTTAGAATTGCATAATGAACAATTCTATACGTTTAAAATGTTCAAATTCAATTTGATATATAGATTAATTCCTTTTAAGTCTAGAAAATGAGTGACGATTATGAGGAGAAAACATCACATCTATAAGTGAACAAAAAGTTAAAATTATGTTTTTGGCGTCAATTTATTCATATTTCAAATCATTTCTTATTTGATTACATTTTAACGATTATATTCACCAAACATTTCAATTTATTCAGAGCGAGTGGTTTGCCTTAATTGTTGTATCGAAAGTACAGTTAATTCATTGAAAAGTAATCATAATTCATCAACTAAGTCCAAAACCAGAGCTAAGCCCAAGTCATTGAAAGCCAAGTCTAAACCGAAAACCGCTGCCAAGAAATCCAAGTCTAAAACAAAGCCTAAATCGACGGCAAAGTCGGCGAAACCAAAGAAAACGAAGAAAGCAGAAGATTCTGATTCTTCTGATTAAAACTGAGACTAAGTCTAGAAAATGAGTTCAGATTATGATTCAAATGAGGAGAAAATATCACATCTATAAGTGAACAAAAAGTTAAAATTATGTTTTTGGCGTCAATTTATTCATATTTCATAGCATTTCTTATTTGATTACATTTTAACGATTATATTCACCAAACATTTCAATTTATTCAGAGCGAGTGGTTTGCCTTAATTGTTGTATCGAAAGTACAGTTAATTCATTGAAAAGTAATCATAATTCAAAAGAATTATATTTTGTCTAATTATTAGTGGAAACAAAATAAACAAATTTGCAAAAATTGCTTTTAGTTTTTGTCATTTTCAGCCCTTTTTTGTGTGTTTAAACTGATTAACGATAATCTGGTTATAACTTAACGCAACAATTATCGAGAATTATGTGAAAACTTTCATTAAAATCTTGTTAACGTCTGAACCGTAAGTAGAAAAACACAGTTTTGATATTCAATTCAAGTAAATTCATCCATGAATTTAAGTTCAGTGTATAATAAAAAAAATGTGTTTCAAATGTTTTGCTGATTTACTTATTGAATACCAGTGCGAGTGTAAAGTGATTGTAAAATAACAACAATAACAAAATTGGTTAAATTAAATGATATATCGTTTTACTGTATGAAGCGTTTGCTAATACATACATATATTTCAGTGCATATCGTATGCAAAACAAGAAAAAGTTTTTGCATAAAAGTTTGTCAAAAAACATAGGCAAACGCTCACAGCATTAGTGAAGCCTAACATTATGTGACCTAAAAATTAATTAATAAACTCCTATTACTGTGTGATTTGTGTATTACTTTATTTTTGCGGCGAATGTTTAATTGTTTTCTCTCTACACAAGAGAGTCGACTGTTATTTTTATTATTATTTATTTTCATACAATTTATTCACTTATTTTCTTCAGTCGATATGTATTGCAAGCGTTTACGTAAGAAATGAATTAAAGAAATTACTTTTTCGAAAAACTATATTTCGAGGATCATTGCTCTGCGCTAATACTAGATTCTCTCTCTCTCTCTCTCTCTCTCTCTCTCTCTCCACTCGATCTGTATTATGAATAAGAAAATGAATTATTTTTTCTTCCTCTTAACCTAAATAGTGTTCATGTGATTCTTTGTGGAACCTATTTATGCAATCAGTTTTTAGACTCACTCTTGGATTTCTTAAAATCACATAATCATTGCATTGCATGCCATTTACACAATCAATTGCTTGCGATATTTGGGCTCATATTTTGTCATATTTTGATCCGCAAATCACTTTCACTTCAATTGTCAATTCAATCGACTCTTACTTCTCCGCCAAAAGAGTTCACTTTCTTTTAATTATTCAAATTTTTGTGTTCAAAATGCCTATCATTACTATTATTATAGGCCATAATTCACACCCATTTATGATTTAAACGACACTAATTATAATTTCGGATACAATAAGTCATTCGGTCGACAATATTATTGAGAAAAGTCAATATCGATTAGGCGTTCAAATTGATTGTTTTTACAGCCCTTTTAATTACCATAAAACTAAATCCCATAAATCTCTTATAAAACCATATTATCATCGTTTCGTAATCTATTGTATAATCCATTGTACACATCATCTCAAGTGACCCGAAAGAATCAGAATTTTTTCCTTAAAGAATATTATTTCCCAAGAATTTATTGCTAATTAATTGGCGAAGCATTCCGTCAATTAAATTATAATTATTTATATTTTTATACAAAAAAAGAAGATTAGAAATAAATAATCGATAAATAGTAT